TTAAATAAACGAAGCAGAACCCACAACCACAACCACAATCACACACCAATACACACACCTCCATATACACACCCAGCAAAAGCTTCCTTATTATAAATCCTTGAATGCAAATCTTTACTTTCAAAAAGCTACAAAAGGCAAATATTTCAAAGCATGAATTTAGGCGCAATCCAAAAGAAAATAGAGTTTAAACCTAAAACAACAACAACATGGTCGAATTCCGACGAAAAGCAATTTGATTTGTTTCACTAAGTAGGTTTTATTTGAATTTTTAATTTAGTAAATGCCCCGCCCTTTAGCAGCATAGTAAAAAGAGATGAAACTGAAACAGATCCCAAGATCCAAACAACAAAACAACCAAGAAAATAAAAGAAAAAATCATCTAAAACAAAAATGAAAACAACAAAAACACAAACAAACAGAAAATTCTTTGCTAGAGTTTAGTTTCTTTTTAGTTACACTTATAACAAGTCAGTTGTAGTAAACGCTTTTGTTTTTTTATAGTATATACCTTTGTTTGTACGAATGCATACAAATGTACATATAAACAGAACGATAACTAATTAAACCTAATTATAACATAAAATACCTACTACTTACTTATGTATATGCTTATGTATGTATATCTTAGATTTAGCATTCTTATTTAAATAAATTGAATTGTTTTCTAATTTTACGCGTTGCAAAACTTAAGCAAAAAACAAAAACAAAACCGAAATTGAATTTAACTTTGAAGAAGAAAAACAAGAAAAACAAAAATAATTATACTATTTTGAATGGAGTTTGTTTAAAAAGATTTTTGTTCTATTTGTGTGTGTATTTGTAGTATTATTTCCAAGAAAATAAAATCACATGTTTGACGATTATGAATATACCGATCACCTACACATATGCTACTTATATCTGAAGTAGGAAGTACACACATTTACACCATAAGCGTACACATACTTACACATATACATATATACATAAACATACACATACAGAAATAAAGATACAGATATAAATAATAAATTATGAATAATTTTTAATTGTACTTTTATTTATGTATTTTAATTTGTATGCGTTACATTTAGTTACTATTATTATTATTATTACATTTACTTAATTAATGATTTAATTTTAAAAACATTACAAAAGTGAATAGAAACGCATTGTATGAATGATGATTAAATGATGAAAATACGAGTAAAATGCATATATGAAAAATATTGATGCAAAAATAAAATCTCTTGTGTTTTTATTTGATTTTGGTTTGCCACATGATTTCACACTTTCAGCTGGATATGTTAATCAATATATTTTTGTAATATAAGGCGATTCTCAAAGAGAGCATGCTGCCCCTATTTGTTGGATATTTGTTTGTCTGTCTACACACCACACACACACACACACGCACACATCTACACACAAACACTCACCTAGAAATGCTTGGGAATTATTTGCATTGTATTCTTTTGTAATTAAGAAATGGAACTGAATTCAGCAAGCACAAGTGCGTTTAAATTGAATTTATACAGTTTATTAAAATGAGAACTAAAATCGTAACGGATATACGTAAATGTGAAGAGAAACAAACTGAAATTTAAGAGTTATATTTCATTTTGAATTACTTACATGGTAAATCAAGTGTGAACAAGTGAGTACCTTTTTTAAAGCTCAACCAAAAATCATTTATCTGTTTATTAAACTTAAGAGCGTGCTCTGCAAACAAAAACAAAAAAAAACCAAAAAAAAAAACTAATCATGAGCTTCTTTCTTGCGGAAATTCCTAATTTCATTGGCACCTTTTGAATGCTAACTTATCTACTTGTAAAACTAAAAACTACAATTGAAACAATCACTCAAACGTATACGAACTTCTTAAAGAATACCCCAGAAAAACTTATGCTATTGTTTTGCACGAACATAAAAAACAACAACAAAAACTTATTTACAAATTGCTAAAGGCAAATGTTTTTTCGCAAGCCGTATTAAAAAAAAAAAATTAAGATAAAATCAAGAAAACGAAATGCAATTTTCACGATAAATATACAGAAATATACGATTTATGCATCGATAGGAATAGTATATTAGACTTTATGGTAGTTAAATAATCAACACAACCACTTGACTTGAAAAACGATTAACGCAAATTGTACAGAACGCCTTAAATAAAATAAAAATCCAAAATATGGATTGACCGAATGATGTATACGAGTCTATATATATATACTATATATGTATAGAATATAAACTATAAATACTTAGATATATTATTATTAATTTTTAAAAACCAAAAAACATAATTATTATCATAATGTACGGCTTAAGCACAAGGAACCAAAATTCAGTTAAAATGAAAGACAGCACTAATGAGAATGAAAGAGATGCCAGATGTTAACATGTTGAACGAGACAGATGTAAAACAAATATTTTGAGAGAGAGATGCAAAAGTATAGTCAGAGTTCTAATAAACCTTGAAGCTATTTTATTTTCCATTGTAACTTCTTGAAGAATTTTAAAATTAATATTTTCTTTGCTATATTGTACTTCTCTCTTTGTGGCAACATGTTAACTGCTACTGCAGCATTTCGCATCGTAAATAAATGCTTGTAAATTGAAACCGCTGTAAGATGTTACAAAACCGAGTCTAGATGAAAGTAATTTAGAATTTCAATTAATTTTGTATGTGGTGATCGCTTGCTTGGCATTTTGAAAGTGTCCGTTATGTGTCAGTGTTGATAAGCGTTATGTAGGACGGAAGGTAAAGGTTTAAAATTAAAAAAAAAAACAGAAAATTAAAATGAAGAAAAAATAAAAAAAATTGAAATTCAAATAATTGCTAAATACAATTATATAAAATACATATTGTATATGAAGTGAATTTTAATGCTTTTTATGTTTCAACAACTTTTTTTCGTATCAGAATTTAAATTAAAATGTGATTTTTCTCGAAACTTTAATGTATACGCCGTAAATATTTAATATGATTATTAAGGACGACAGCAACATTTATTATGATGATTATATTTACATACATATATATTTAATAATTATTGTACATTTTTGATAAACTCTCATTGAAAATATTTTGTAAATAGCGCAAAAACTTGCATTAATTATAAAACGCATGCATAATTAAACCAACCAAAAAAAAAAGAACAAACGAAGTAAACTTCAACTGTATTTAATGCCAATTGGTATTAAACAAAGCAAATGCAACCCTGAGCATAGACTAAAAAGTGCACAACCGATTTATACAACTTACAACTTACCCACGCGACATCATCGGAACATACTCTAATAGAAGGGAAAACTATCCATAGAGAGAGAGAGAGATAGACACACAATGAGAGAGAGAGGGAGAAAGAGAGCGTGCGAGCGAGCGAGGTAGCAAGAGTGTGCCCTTGAGCGGAGTTAGAACAGGAGAGAGAGCTAACTCTATAGTTGCAATAATTATGCAAAAAAAAAAAACAACAAAAGAAAAGAAAAGAAAGAAATCTATATATAATAATAATAAAATTAAAGTAATATATTTATATGAAATAAATTAAATAAATGTTTGTGCGTGTAAAAATTAACTTTAACTAAATTTCTAGGTTTAAACGAGATGAAAACAAAAAACAAGAAAAACAGAAAAACATGAAAACAATGAAAATAAAACTTAAACATAAATATATTGAAAAAAAAGTATCATTAACTTAATAAACTAATTGAAGCTTCTATGTAAAGAAATAAAAAACAGAAACCCTAAGATTATGTGCATATTGGAGAAGAAAATAGAAGAACAACTTAAAAAGAAAAGGAAAAAAAGAAAACACAGAAAGAAATATGTGAAAAAATTGAACATAATTTTCAATTGTAATAAATTATGAAATAAAAGATTATGAAAACCAAATGCCATCAACTGTGTATATAAATATTTAATATGCTGGCCACTTAGTTGGAATTCGTTTTAGACTATGGGAAATCGCGTTTGGCAACTGACAACTGATATGGGTGCAGGCTCGCCATTTGCCAACTGTCTGCTGGTCAACTGGTCAGCTGGTAAATTGTGCGACTGTGCCCCAAACTGACCCAAGGGTAAGAGCCGGGCCAATGCCAATGCCTGTATGCCTGTATGCCTTGGCAATATATCTCGTTCACCTTCCTGATATGTATAATTGAACTATAATTGCCTCGAACTTTCACACACGCTTCATCGACGCCGCTTCCGCTCGCGTTTAGTGCCCCTTTTCGTGGCATTAGTTGCTCATCATCAGCTGGTGTGAAGTGCATGCACTTTTCTACTTCTTCTGCTGCTGCTGCTGCTGTTGCTGTTGCTACTTTTTTTTTGGCAGCCGCTGCTAATTCGAATTCCACTTCAAAGCAACAGCAGATGTGCGGATTGCCACGCACACACACACACACACACACACACACACACAAAGATAGACACACGCTTGACCAACAAATTCAATTAATATTAATTAGCCAAGGTGCTGAGCTGCTTGCTTTGGCTGCACGCTGCGATCAACGCTGTTGCTTCCCGCACACACACACACACACACACAGACACACACACAGGCACACACATACACACGCAAATGGAGTTTTAATCATTTTCCAAGTGTGAAAATTAGTTGCGTTTAAGTTGCCTATAATTAGTAGCTCGGCACACACATTAGACACATTAGACAGCCAGAGGCTCGCTCATTTGTGACACCAGCCACCACCACCAACGCCTTCACACCCGCCCCTTCGGCTTTCGCCCCTCGACCACCGCCTACGTTTGTCCATCCGTCGCAGCTGTAATTACTTTTACGAGCTGTTTACAGCTGCTCCAAGTGGCCATTATGCGGTGGCAAACCAAAATGTCTACTGTCAATTTTATGCAAATTTCTTATGTTGTCTTTGTGTGACAAAAGTTTTTCTTTGTCCACCCGCACAAAGTCCATCATATAATACACTTGTAGCAATTGCAGTTGCCCTGCCCCTGCTCCAGCCCATCCCCAAGTTTAAGGTAATCTTTAAGCCTGTTGTTTCGGAAACTTTAATTTATTTTCATTGCGCATTTTGATGCTCGTAATTCCCTCGTTATTGTTGCCTCCTGTTGCCTGCTGAGGCTGCCTCCTGTTCCTTCTCCGTTGTTGTTGCTGTTGTTGTTTGAATGTCACGCTTGGTGTTAGCATCATTACTTCTTGCCATTGTGTTGTTCTTGTTGCTCTTGTTTTGCATATGAATATGATCGGAGAAGGGAGGAGAGATACACAAAAAAAAAAAAAAACAAAAAAAAACATTGTTAACTGCGCTTACAAAAGCCACAGTCCCGTTCATGTTGCCCTCATCCGAGTTCCCAGGCACAGGCACAGACATAGACACAGTCGCAGTTGCCAGTCGCAGTTGGAGTTGGAGTTGGAGTTTGAGTCGCAGGCTCAGCCCTTGCTTTGCTCTTTTCGTGGTGGTTGTTATTTTAATTTCATAATTTTTTCTTTTTTCGTTGCGTACACTCCACTTTTATAATTTCAAAACAGATTAATGTTGCGCATATGTGACACCATTTTATGCGACGGGTTTATCTCTTTTATGGCATCATCATCATCATCATCCTCATAGCACAGAGGCGCACACCAACAACTACATAGAAACAAGGGCGTGTGCCGCCCAGGCAAGTGTATGTGCATAGAGGTCTTGTTTTCAGCAAGGGGCTCAGCAAGGACTTAATAGGGATCAGCCGAGCGCTGTTTGGCCAGATCAAAGCAGATGCTTAGAAGTTTGCATCTGAGTGAAATGCGAGCAAAGACAGCGCTCAATATTTCAATATATAATATCAAAAGTATTACGTATTTATTACACTCACACATATTAAATTTGGTAACTAATGCTTAACAAGAAAGAACGGCGAGTCTAAGGAATAAATAAAAATACAAAAAGTTGATCAAAATCAAATTAAAATCAAAATAAAATAAATACATATTACTTAATTCTACGATAGAAACTAAATAAAAATCAATGTATTAAATTGTAATACTTCAGTTTGTAATAAACTACGAAACATTACATGTAACCAATGCTTATAGAGATATATATATCTATGAATATGTATCTTTGATATGACTTAATGTTTCTTTAGAATAATGTTAATCCTCGAACTGAACATTCATTGTCAACTTTAAAAATGCTTTTATCGAATTGAAGTCAAATTATGTAATTGTGAATACAATTTAGTCAGAATCTGTATTTAAAGTAGGAGTTGTGCCCACAATTGCATTATGCCGCCCACAATACAATTGGAGCTCTTTTGTGCCCGAAATGAAATTGACACCCAATCAGCTTGGCTAATTTGGTTAGCCGACTTTCAGCTGGCTTTCGGCTGTTAGCTGTGAGCTTGGAGCAGTGCGGACCATTGTCTTTTGTAATGCGATATGAGGTCCATTCATGGCAGAGCTGTCAAGCTATCCATTCACTCATTGGGATTGCCTTGGGCTATGAATTTGAGTTCGAGTTTGAGTCCGAGTCCGGGGCTCATTAATGCACTTTGCATAATCGCAAAATCATTCAGACGACGACGATAACAATGAGAGACTGCGACTATGCAGCGATTACAATGGCAGATGCGAGAGAGACGGAGTCGAAGTCGAGTTTTAGTCCAAACTGGACGGAATTTGTGGAGTGGGTGTGGATGTGAATGTGGATGTGGATGTGGATATGACTGTGGCTGTGGCAGTGGCAGTGGGTGCAAGTAACAGCATGAATTGAAATGTTTTCGGATAATTTAAATGACTTAAATTATGTAAATTGTCGCTGCAGACAAAGACGATGAGATGAGATGCGTGTCGCGACATTCGAGTTTGTCCCAGTCCAAGTCCCACTCCCCACTCCCCATTACCCAGTCCCCATCTCAGTATCTGTCTCTGCCTCAGTCCCAATTTCCAGTCGCAGTTCCTCATTGTCAGCGCTTGTGTCGTCTCTGTAAAATGCAGTGCCCAGCAGTAAAGTGGGGAAAGTGCGCAAATGCCAAGCGGCAATCGTAGCAGTAGCTGTAGTCATTCTTTGTTGTTGTTGTTCTTGTTGTTGTTGTTGTAGTTGTTTCCATCAGCCCGCACTAGATTCACTTACAAATTTAATTAAGTTCAATTGAAAGTAACACCACGGCCGTTGCCGTTGCCGTTGTCGCCATCGTCAGCGTCAGCGTCATCGCCATCGCCATCTGTGTCGTCTGCGATGGCGGCGAAGGCGGCGACTTCATGTGGACCCGTCGACTTGGACAATGTAGCGACAATCCAAAAAGTTTGTTTTGACAATTGATACAATGAAAAATTTAGTGCGATCAACGTCGCATCGTCCACTAGCTGCGTGGGCCAACGGCTAACGACAGTTGCAATAGTAAACATATACATAAATACACTCAGAAAAATCGTCATACACTTGGCTCCAGAAAGTCTGTCTCTAAAATCGACGATCGAGTCTGCCTAACAAACATTATATTCACTTTTATTTATATACATGTAAATATGAAGTACAAAAAATTTCCAGAAATTCAGTTTCTAGAATCGATGACTGAGTTTGCAAATCTTTTGAATTTCTGACTGAACTTGAAAGCATAAAAATGAACTCATTTTTAGCAGACTCGATTAAGGGCAAGCCATTTTAATTTAATGAAATTCATTTTTTATATTTAGAAAGCATTTTTAGAGAAAAGACAAATTATCTAATTATTTAAAATGCTTGTGCTTTTTTTTCCGAGTGTATGCTCATATATGTGGCAGATGTGATGTAGCAGCTTTGACTTTTGCCTCGATACGTTTCACACTTTCATCTGGGCACTTGTGCACTTGCCCCATATCTGATGCATAAATGAGAGGCAGCAGCATTCCTGGCATAATTTCTATGTAACAGAGCAGCTTCTAAATTCGCATTCACTCGCATGTTCAGATATATATATATACATATATATATATTTGCATACATATATATATAAAAAAATATATATATGCATAAATATACTTATATATATATATATTCAAGAATCAGTGTATCTGTTGATGTCTAAATTTACATAATTGAATTTGTTTGCTTGATTGCCGAGCTGTCGATGCGCAGAGCCGTGCGGGAGGCACTCACAAAAATGACAATTGCTAGTTCCGGTCGTTTGCAGTTTGAAGAGCCATTGAAGCAGCCCACAGACTGTGGCATGCGGGGGTGGGGCAAGCCCTCATCGCTTCGATGCCGTGCAGCAGTCAACGACAAGCGCAAAAATCAACGCAATTTGTCAATAAAAATGTAACTCGAACAGATTGTGAAGTGTGCGAATGTGCTCGAAACAATCGGCGGGCATAAATTATGTTCCACATACGACATACCGACTGTATCTATATATATGTTTATATATATATATATATATTTGTAGATGCTAAATGCATGCGGTGGCTTCTGTGGCTGCGGGCTGTTGGAGTTGTTTTGGGATGCCCTGTCTGCTTGACTTTAATGGGTATAATGATTTCCAATGCAGATTAAACGATCAGATTATGGTGTGCTTCAGTTTCTCAAGTGGTCGCTCTTCAGAGTGCCCGTAGACTCGAGTTGATTGCGTGTGAATCCCAAATCAGTGATAAATGAGTTACTATTAGGCCAGAGGCAAAGTATTTTATACATTCATCGATTTGCGAAGTTTAAAATGAGCTTCTATTAAATGTTGTATACAGCACTGAAGCACTTTCAATTTTAAAGATTTGTACTCAGTGTAGGTGATTCGATTTAAATTATAGATCTATATGAAATGTGATTATAATTAATCATGTGCAGCTTACTAAAATAAAACCTCATTCATTTGCTGGACGATAAATTAAATGCAGCACTAGTCAAAGATACGCAATCAATTTTAATGCGTTTGACTGCAATCAGAAATGTTTGTCTGCCAGTTGACTTTTGGCCAGCAAATTCGACGCACACATAAAATTGTTTAAAGAATTCATATAACAGCTATCAGACAACTGCCACGCCCAGCTACGCCCACTTTCAGTTTGGAGTGCCAGCAAGTAAGTAAATTCTATTGAAAACTAAAACATGAAGCAAACGACAGTTTTATGCGAATGCAACTGCATTTATTTGGATATTGCAGATGTAACCAACTTACATACATATATACGAGTACATACATATATACTTATATAGAATAATATATATTGAGAATTTAGGGTCTATGGTGTTTGTGTTGCAGCACAACAAATTGTGCAGCAATTGCAAATGTCTGAGTTGTTGTGGCAAATACTTTGCGCATGTCAACAAATTTGTTTCGTGTGGCCAAAATTATAAAAGTCGCAATAATTTTCTTAAAATCTTTGCATATTTTTGGCTGCTCAGACCGAGACAGAGCGAGAGAGAGGAGGAGAGAGAGGGAGAGAGAGGGAGAGAGAGAGATAGTGAGACAGACTAAAACCATATAAGCAGCAAAGTTGTATTGTTGCTTTTATTGCTGACGGGAATAGTGAACATGATGCTGCTGCTGCTGCTGCTGCTGATGATGATGATGATGATGATGATGCTGTTGCTGCATTTTATTTTATGCTTCCTTCCGTTTAAGACGAACTTTGCTTGCAGCCCCTCTTCCTGCCTCTCAGCTCCACTCAGTTGTGCCCGCTGTTGCTTGCTTTGTCTCCGACCCACGCATTCAGTTTTCGGTAGGGTTGTTTATATATCCGCACTTAATGCTTAATTCAGTTACATCTGCTCTGCTCTGCTCTGCTCTGCTCTGCTCTGCTTTGCTCTGTTTTGCTTTGCTTTGGTTTGGTTTGCTTTGCCTGGCTTTGTTATTGTTGTTCCTACTACTGCTAGCATTGACAATGACATCATCATTATTGCGTGCTCAGCTTCTGCTTCTTTCTTGCGGAGGATGCGGTCGTCTCGTCTTGTTCTTCTTCTTCTTGTTCTTCTTCTTCTTCTTATGCTTGGATGTCACATCTTTGTTATATTTTTGCGCAAAATAAATGAAGTAAAGTAATATTATTGCACTTAGACCGCATTAAGTTGTACGTGGCAATCAGTGCTGCTGATACTGCTGCTTCTGGCACAGCTACAGCTACCAAGACGGGGTTGAGGCGGGTTGTGTTTGCTCTGTTTTCAAATTTAAGTGCCAAGGATTTTCTATGAAATTAGCTAAAGAAATGCCAAAGACAGCGACACAGCACAGCACACGAACACACACATACAACCCCAATAAAACCATAATCAAGTATACGCACTTACAATACTACTGCACTCAGTTTCCCACTCCCCCTAAACCCCTAAACCCCCACGGCCCTTTACTATTCACAGAAAGCACTCCTCGTTCTCTTTCTAACTTTCGCAGCGTTGCCAGCACAGTTAACAATGGAAAATTGCTGTTGACATGATTTTGCACTCTGGCATCGACTGCATTCGGCAATTAGGTTTGTCTCTGAACACACTACTCCCCTACTCCCCGCCCAACCACCCACCATCCCCTGCTCAGTTCCTGGCACCGCCCAATAGCAGATTCGGTTTCAGATTCGCATTTGCAACATTTCGGTGGCAAGCATTGCGAAAGTGCAGCGCTGCAGTTTCCATTGCGTAATGTGCGGCTGTCAATTTGTTTGAATTATTTGCCGTCCACCCACTCCGCCCTCGGCCGTCAGCAAAACGGAAAGCGCTTTTAATAAACTCTCGAAACAACACACGGTTCTCCCCTGCGGATATGCGCCCTGGGCTCTATCTCTGGCTCTGGTCCACTCGACGCAGTGCTGTCTAGGTGTCATTTATGCAACAGTTTGTGTTTTATGACACACGAAGCTGAAACTGAAGCTGAAGCTGAAGCTGGAACGAGGCTGAAGTTGTAGCTGGAGCTGGAGCTGGAGCTGGAGCTTCAGGCCAGGCACTTGACCATTTTTGGTGGGCCGGTCACTTTTGCAGGCCATAAAACTAAAATATAATAATTACCAAGTCGTTTTTTCTTTTGTTGCTGTTGTTTCATGCCAGCGGCCTTTTCAAAATTCGCTGCCCCAGGCAGTTGCATAGAGAGGCAAAAAAAGAGAAAGGGTGTGGCAGAATTCAAGTGAACTTAAGTCTTAATAAATAAGTGAGGCGACGTACGGTCAGTCGTTAAATGATATAGCTGCATAGGGTATTACTGCTCAACGGGGTATCTAGGACTTTCCAAATGCACCATGACATTACTAGACTATAACTGAGGCTTGTGAGTAATAGCAAGGACTATATAGATATGTCTACATGGATATTTCTCTCATTGATAACAGGAAAAGAATACTTTCACTTCATATAAGCTCACAATTGATTCCAGTTCATAATTGACAATTTGCCTTATTTTTATGTTTTAAATGAAATTATGTTATAATAAAATAAGAAAAAAGTTTATATTAGTTAACCTTAGTGCGGATATATACTCTTTATTTTAAACTAATTAAATATTAACCAATAAATTATGGTATAGAGCTAAAAATAAATCCACACTAATTGTGTAATTTATTTGTTTAGCTTGCAGCTGTCAAAGTTCAAATAAATGTTATGTCTGCTTGATTGGATTAATAATTAATTAATAAATTAATAAAATATTCATCAATGTTTTATTTAACAAAACTGTAAAAGTAGCAAAATATTTTGTCACGTATTGTTTTAAGTCTAAAGTAGAAATAAATCAAATTATTTATTTTGTGATACTAATTCCATTGGTAACCGTACAATAAGCCAACACACTAATAATCTAATATATTAACTTAATTGTGTATCTACTTATAATAAGTAGTAAATGCTGTTCATCTTAATATCCCCATATTTAAAATATCCTATATTATTTATTTTTATTTACTTACAATTTGTTGTTTTTAAAACCTTATTTACATTTTTGCCTCCTGTTCTTCGTTCATTTAAATAACAAAATAATGCACAAAACTGCAGAATCACCTCCGATTCGCCCGTCGACAGTCTACAGCCTAGAAAGCTAATATATATCACAAACTTAACTGTTCAGTCAATAATGAACACCTAAGTCGGTATACCTTGGAAAGGTGTGCATTTAGAGCTTTGTTAAATGTTATGTTCGACAAGCTACAAAAATCTCATAAAATGCGCAAATTGAATTAGGGCCCAAAGCACAAGTTTTGAGCGGCAAACAAAAGTGCCGCTGCGGCCATCAAGTGGAGACTGTTGGTGTTAGGCGCTGACAGACAGAGACAGAGACAGCAAGAGTGAGTGAGAGAGAGAGAGAGAGAGAGGTATTTCGAGTGAGTTGACCAAGTTGCGACTACAACTGCGATTCGTTGTGCATTTGGTGGGTGGACAGCACTTTAATTAGTTGGCATTGAAAATGCCGACCAACAAGCAGATGGATAGCACAAATGAATGGATGGATGGATGGATGGTTGGTTGGTTGGTTGGTTGGTT